ACAAATGTTGTTTGCGCGAATGAAATAACATAAATGATTGTTGAGTATCATTTCTTTCTAATAACATAGTTACATTTTATATAACGTGGTATTTTAGGACAAAACAAAATAACTAAAATGTTGATTTATCTAATATAATAAAATAATATGTTCATATTGTGAGTACTAATATTAGTGAAATGAAAAGTCTAAGTGAAGGAAATATCCTAAAATGTTTATGCTCTCTGTAATAATATTAGTGAATGAGAAGTTTAAGTAAAGGAAATATCATAAAGATAAAATTGCAAGTTTGGTCCTTGTGGTATGTCAAAAATTGGATGTTTGGTCCAAAATGTTTTGGGGTTGCACCAGTGGTCCAAAATGTTTGATTTGTTGTGGAATTGGTCTAAAGGTTTAACAACCGTTTATGCCCTCCGTTTGTGTGAGGGTATTTCTATCAGTTCATATCCATTCTTTTAATATCTTTTTAAATTAAACCCCCTTAAAGTCTACTCCCTTATTAATAGATCAAACGTGTGTTCCCCCTTTTCCCTAAATCGATATCTCCTCCTGCTAAAATCGAAATCATCTCACCTACACTCAAAATCAACAATGGTGAGATGTTTCTGTGGTCAAATGGCGATAATGTGAACGGCGTGGACTGATAAGAACCCTAGGCTACGTTTTTGGGGATGCCCTGAAGAGGTTAGTATTCATGTGGTTGGTTATGAAGATTTTTCACCGATCACTCAATTTCTTCTTATATTTTGCTAGGATTTGACATGTGGGTTTGTGGGATGGATCGACCCTAAAATGTGTGAACGATTAAAATCAATAATTCCCGGGTTGCTGAGACTAATCAACAAGCTAAAGACTGAAGTTGGAATATTGAAAGAAGAAAATCAAATGTTCAAGTATGATATTGGAAAAATAAAGGAAGAAAAATCAAAACTAAAGTTGTACCTGATATGTAGCTGGGTTTTTTTTGGGTTTGTATTTTTTTCTAATGAAGTAGTTCGTCCATGTATTAGGGGTATATTTTGTGGTAGATTTGGAAAGATTGTAATGTTTGTGAATGTACTCTTTTGGACATGCAAGTAAATGTAGTGTTTTGGTTAGTGGGTAATTAAGTAATTTTTTGCAAACATCTAAATATTTAGCTTCAACTAGACATAGCAGTGATGGGACAAACTGTTAATGCTTAGCATAACCAAATAGTAACATAAATATGCAAAAAAGTAAAGGACAATGATGCATAAACAAAAGAACATCAAAAATAAATAACCGTTGTTTGCACATACATAATTCTTTGACCAAAAAAACATCATTCTAAACAGAAGGTAAAGTTGTCCAAATTATCAAACAACACAAAACAGACACCCAAAATAACATCACAATGGTTTCCAAAAGTAACAACACATTACACAATCTTAATCCAACAAGTCAACACATCAATTTCCTCCTTGCCCCTTACATGTTTTTGCATTATGTCCCTTGTTTTTACACTTGCTACAAGTAACAGTAATGAACTTCCTTGTGAGTTTTCCACTGCCCCCTGGAGCATGATTATCTATACCATTATGACCAACTGTTTGACTTTGACTTTGATTTTCACTCTGATTCTAAGCTTGACTTTGAGATTTTTCCTCCATGGATCTTTGCCTATTCTTCTTGGGCCTACTAGGTTGATTACGATGTGGAGGAGAGCTGATCTTTATGGGACAATCACTAACAGGCCACATGATACGACCTTTGATTGGTTCTACCTTGTGTACATATGTGTAAAGTTCAACCACATCCTCACCATTGTCAGCTTTATCAAATAGGACTACAATCACATACCTACAAGAAATTCCTGTTAATTCTCATTTCCTACAGCTGCATACCCTTTGGCCCATGTCAACAACATGTTTATCTTGCCATGGTCCTTGTACTTCATACTTGTCTGAGGAATTCCATCTGACTATGTAATTAGAAGCATTTGTTGTGTTTGTTTCCATGGTCTTTGTTGTTGTTGGAGTCAACCTACGCACTTTTGTTGAACCTTGATCACATTGCAAATCCTCTTCATCATGTACTCCCAAATGTACTCTAAGCATGTGATTATTGGTTTATCCCTCCCTTCTATTAGTTTATTGTTAAACACTTCACAAAGGTTGTTCAAAAGTATGTATGTGATTGGTCTACCTGCAAGACAATTGTAACTTAGAACAACATACACCAAATATATGTAATTTATCACTGAATTGAGAGTTGTCTACTTGTGAAATGGATTCTAGCCCAGTGTTGTGGTGGGATCTTCTTCACCCATTCATAAGCTTCTTTGTCATATTCACTGAACTCCTTCATCAAACGGTTGAATTCTTGCACTGTTGCTGCTTTGGCACAATTCCATAACCTATCTTTGTACTCAGTAGTTCTCAATCTCTTCCTCGTGTTTTCATAGATATGTCTGAGACAAAATTTGTGTTCAACAACTGGGAAAAACTGTGCAATGGCTGGAATTAATCCCTACAAAGTCATATTCACTGAACTCCTTCATCAAACGGTTGAATTCTTGCATTGTTTCTGCTTTGGCACAATTCCATAACCTATCTTTGTACTCAGTAGTTCTCAATATCTTCCTCGTGTTTTCATAGATATGTCTGAGACAAAATTTGTGTTCAACAACTGGGAACAACTGTGCAATGGTTGGAATTAATCTCTACAAAGTCATTAAATTGTGGTTAGTATAATACAAATGCAATAAGAAAACTAAAATACATCAAGTTAATCTATTATCTTTTGTCTATCACTTATGAAAGTGAAGCTTGAAAGTTGTGACAGGCCCAGATCATCTCCCAGGTACTCTAGAAACCATTTCCAACTTTTTGTGTTCTCAGACTCAACAATGGTGTATACCAATGGGTATATACCATTGTTAGAATCTAAGCCAACTGCAATCAAGATATGCCCTGGGAAAGCTCCTTTCATAAACGCCCCATCTAAACCAATAAAATCCCTTAAGCATGCTTTGAACCCCTTTTTCATTCCACCTAAGCAAATATAAATCCTCTGAAAACATCTTGAAGTTGCATTTACAAGATTTGGTTGTTGAACCAGTTCCAGTTTCACAATTGTGTTAGGATTTGTGGACTGCAACTCTAGTATATAATCTCTCGGCACATCATATTGTTTTGTGTAATCTCCCATCACATGTTTTTTGGCATCGGCTATAGCCCTGGATATCTTATCTTTGGAGAAGCCCACCTGATATCTTTTCTGGAGTAGTTCTTGTACAACTTTGATTGGAACAATTGGATTAGATTCCACTAGATCCATAATTTGTTTAGAGATGAACTTTTTTGTGGTTGTTTTACCTTTCTTGTATTGAGGCATGAGTGTTCAGGTTGGTACGTTTTCACACACCAACTTTCTTCCTCACTTTTCCTATATGCTTGTAAAACCCACTGACAAGACAGTTCAATACTTGTCTTTTTTACTTTTGCCTTTAATTTTCTTCCCAGTGGTAGGTCCATCCACTTGCCCCTCATTAAATAATACTTTTCCTTTGCATGTGGCCCGCAACCTGAGTTTATCATTTTTCTTAATAAAAAGATTCTTCCTAGTTTCCAAAGCATGATGGGCAATCTTGTCTTTCAGCTCTTTTTTACTTTTGTATTTTTGTCCTATACGGAATGTTGGTGTATGAACTTCTCCTAAAGAACACCTTTTTTCCTTACCTAATTCTTTCATAACTTGTCTTCTCATCTTGCCCATCTCAGAATCATCATCTGTTGAAGCCTATTCATCATTGTCAATTACATCCAACTCCATATCTTCATGCTCCTGATCTCTATCTTTCTTCATGTTATCCCTTAGTCTTTTCTCAAAAAACTTTGCTTCAGTGTCAATCAAGGTTATAAAAATCGTTTGACGGTAGCTCGATTAATCGGTCTTGGCGGGGATTAATCGAGGATTAATCGGTGACCACTAATTATTAATAAAATATTAAAATTAATTAAATATTAATATATCTTAAGAAAAAACAAGTACTTCAAAATTAGAAAATAAGAAAAATTGTAATTTGGAAATTTGGAAATACGAAAATATGAACATTTTGGTATAATATTTAAAATTTTGAAAATTTGAAAATTTTCGAGTAAAAAAAAAGTTGGTTTTTTGAAATTTTTTGACTTTTTTCGACTTTTGTTGAGTTTTGTTGACCGATTAATCCCGCAAAGGCTGATTAATCCCGCCAAACCCGATTAATCATAAATTTCCGATTAATGCCCTAATACTCGATGGTTGGAGAACGCCAAACGATTAATCCATGATTAATCGCTGATTAATCCCGATTTCTACAACCATAGTATCAATGCTCATGTGGAAATCTCTCATATCCACTTCAACGTCAGGAATGATATTCTGCCCATCCACCCAATTATTGTCCTCACTATCATATTCCTCATCATAGTGACTACCCGCTCCCCTATCAGATATGCTCCCATTATCATGATCATTTTATATGTTACCTTCCATTTCAGTCTCCATGTAATCATCCATGTATAGTAATTATCCAAGTTATCTTCCATGGCAGCCTCATGTCCATGTTCCAGTTCCACTTCATCTTGTGCATTTTCTTATACTTCTACTTGTGTATGTTCTTCCACTTCATCTTCAACATGTTCTTCCACTTCTACTTATACATGTTGACCAACATCTGCATTTGATTGTAATATCTTTTGATACAAACCAATATCAAATTTTGTAGTTGCCTCAATAAATTCATTAGCAATAAGCTCTTTTTGTCTATCATGAACCTCAACATGTAATGGTTGTACATCAATAGGGGATGATGTAGGTAGGATTGGTAAATCTTGTACCTCAGCTGTAGGGTTTTCATTATCATCATTTTCATCTATTTCATCCATTTGTACAATAGTTACCTTCCTAACAGGTTTAGGATTCATAAAGTAGGTAAGTAACTTTGTCTCACCATGTTCAATATATACCCTCATGACTTTGTGATCACACACATATTAGGCAAAAGTTCGTAAATCATCATCATTGCCTAAGGGTTTAAGACCAAAGTGGAAGTCTCCACCAGGCACAAGGAAGTGATAGTAAATCATAGGAGGAACACCGTACCTAAACCCTTTCACGATAACATCCATCTCATGAACCGAAAACCTGTCTATATCCACCATGACAACATAGTTCACACTTCTGTCAATGTACTGAACATCAAGAAACTTGGTGAACTCACCTCCATGGTATAGCTTAATGGTAAATAATGTTGGGTGGCCATCTTCAAACCAACAACAAAAATAAGTTCAGAAGCATGATTTCACATACAAAAGATGTAATGTATAGAGAAATTACAAAATCATTACCATAAGCCACCTTTACGTTGAACGGTTTGTCTAAGAGCCTTATATTCTACATTGGTATGTTCATACACTGAAATAAAAACGATCAAAAAAAAAACTTCACTTTGAGATTAGGGCTTTTGGGTAACGAACGAAGACAAAGGTGATATGATAGTCAATCGACGAATTGCACATGAGATTTGGCGGTAGGTATCAATTAATTAAGAGGATGGGGTTTAATTTAAGAAGATATTAAAAGAAGGGGTGTGAATTGATAGAAATACCCTCACACAAATGGAGGGCACAAACGGCTGTTAAGCCTTTGGACCAATTCCACAACAAATCAAACCTTTTGGACCACCGGTGCAATCCCAAAACTTTTTGGACCAAACATCCAATTTTTAACATACCCACAGGAACCAAACTTGCAATTTTTTCTATCATAAATGATGGTTGAGTATCACTACGTATTAAATAATATAATTATACTTACAATGTAATGTTTTTTAAGACCAATAAAATAATACAAAAAGAAATATCGGTATGTTGATAAAATAAGATGTTTATATATAAACTTGAAGGAAATAACCTTCGAGTGAATGAATACGATAAATGATTGTCTTGTACATAACATAATCATACTTTAATTTAGATGATTTTAGGACAAAAGAAAATTACAAAGACATTGGTGTATGTCGATAAATAAAATATGAACATTGTGTGTACTTTTATTTAGAGAATAATATGTGAACGAAGGAATTACCATAAATGGTAATATTGTAATTAATAAATTAAAATTACGTGTTCACATGTATTCCATTCATATTGTCAGTTGTAATCATGCTAATCATTTATTTTCGTATGTATGATATGTAGAGTTAAATGATAATTTATTAGGTTAATATGTTACACATTTTTTGTGAATAAATCGTTATTTTACATCTTAATAAATGTGGAAAAGCGACGTGTGAAGTGGCGTAAACGCAAATCTTGCATGTTCTAGCCCACCTATTAGCTTTGAGGTATCATTATTTAATGTTTTAAACTAATACTAATGCTTTAAAGTTTAAACTAATATTTACTTAAATATGCATTAACTTATAAGTTGTTTGTCATGTCATTATAATAACGTTCATAAAAAAATTCAATCCTATGAGAAAAAGCAAAGTGTTTCACAAAAATGTTGTGAATAATAAGATTAAGAAATAATAATTAAATGTAAGTCGGTGATAGGATGAGCAATTATTTTGGTGATGTGGAAAGATCGTGGCTTTTGTTTCTGGTTCTTTATTTTAGTCCCAATCATGTAGTCAATGTTGTCGTGTAAATGTGTAATTGACTAATGAGTCAATACTCAATTCCTTATCTCGCAAATCTCTTAGAGTGTATCTTATGTGGTGGTGGCATGACGGTGTCAATGCCAAAGAAACACCGTCTCGTTTCATGTTGTGTTAAGCGTCATCAACGCTCAACATCCTTGATAGTATGATGGAGTTTCTTCGTTTAATTTCTTTAAATTTATTTTTATATGTTTAATTTAAAAGAATAATAAAATGGTGTGGTGGTCATTTCTTAGCAAATATAATGTTGTGTGGAAAGTGACATGACATGTGAGATAGCAAAACAATAGTGTGGAGGGTGTGACCCATGCCCACCAATTTTAGGCTAAGGGAGAATGAAGTTGACGCCCGGGTTGAGAGTGAGTTGGGGCAGTACCGTTAGGTTGAGATTTTGAGTAAGCAGCGGGTCAAATGGGCTCAAGGTTTATTCAATGTAAGTGAGTATACCACCATATCGATGGCTATACTATCTCTCTTCTCTCTCTCTACTATCTTTATACTCTTTTTCATTCTTCAACACTTGTATAATAGACTTCAACACTATCTTTATACTCTCTTCCATACGGTTTCTGATGTTGTGTCTTAACTCTCGCACATGTTACACACTCGGCAACATACTTCGCAACATCGAGCTTCATCGTTTGCCACCAGTAGTAGGGTTTCAGATCCCTATACATCTTAGTGTTGCCGGGATGAATCGAGTACATGGTCTTGTGAGCTTCTTCCATCAGAAGATCTCTTATTCCTCCCGTCTTAGGTATCCAAATCCTATCTTGGAACACCTTCAATCCTTGACTGTTTGTACTGAACACCAACGTTTTGCCTAAACGTTCTTCCTTTCGGTCATTATTCTCTAAAGCTACTTCCTGAGCCTTCTTGATGTTTTCCACAATTGTCGAGACAACTTCTATTTTCAACTCTCTTGGCCTTTTTCTTTCAAGATTAACTTTTCGATTTAGAGCATCAGCTACAACATTTTCTTTATTAGGGTGGTAAAGTATCTCACAGTCATAATCCTTAAGCAACTCTAGCCAGCGTCGTTGTCTCATATTCAATTCCTTCTGATTAAAAAGATACTGGAGACTATTATGACCAGTGAAAAGTTTGCACCTCGTGTCATAAAGATAATGCCTCCATATCTTTAATGTGAATACTATCGTTGCCAACTCCAGATCATAAGTGAGTAGTTATTTCCATGCTCCTTCAATTGTCAAGATGCATATACTATCACCTTTTCTCTTTGGGTTAGAACACAACCTAACCCAACTCCACATGCATCGCTATAGACTGCGAAGTCTTCAAATCTGCCAGGTAAAGAAAGAATTGGTTCTTCAAACACCTTTTTCTTTAGCTTCTCGAATGCCTCTTCGTGTTTTTCACTCCATGTATACGTAGCTCCTTTATGGGTCAAAGCTGTCAATGGAGCCGCTATCAAAGAAAAGCCTTGGATAAACCTTTAGTAATATCCAACTAACCCTAGAAAGCTTCGAATCTCTGTGGGACTCTTTGGTCGTTCCCACTTCATCACAGTTTCAATCTTTACTGGGTCAACCATTATTCCTTCCTGGTTAACCACATGACCCAAGAATTGTACTTCTCGAATCCAAAAATCGCATTTGGAGAACTTTGTGTACAACTTCTCCTTCTTTAGAACTTCTAACACTTCTCGTAGATGCTTGTCATGATCCTGCTAGCTCTTTGAGTAAATAAGAATATCATCCATGAACACTATCACAGATTTATTGAGGAATGGTTTACAAACCATGTTTATTAAATCCATGAATGTTGCTAGAGCATTGGTTAGTCCAAACGACATAACCAAGAACTCATAGTGTCTGTATCTTGTTCTGAACGCATTTTTCTCAATATTCTGCTCTCTCACCTTCAGTTAATGATATCCTAACCTAAGATCGATTTTTGAGAAATAGCTCGAACCTTGCAGTTGATCGAATAGGTCATCAATCCTTGGCAATGCGTACTTGTTCTTTACCGTTGCCTTATTCAGCTCTCTATAGTCTATGCACATCCTCATGCTTCCATCCTTCTTTTTCACGAATAACACAGGAGCTCCCCAGGGTGATGAACTAGGTCTAATGAAATTGTTGTCCAACAATTCCTAAAGTTGCATCATAAGCTCCTTCATCTCTGTCGGTGCTAATCGATATGGTGCTTTCGCTATTGGCATCGTTCCTGGTAACAAGTCTATCCAAAAGTCTACTTATCTATCAGGGGCAATCCAGGAAGATCTTCAGAAAGACTTCCAAATAGTCACACACCACTGGTACTTGCTGCATTTCTTTCTTCTCTTTCTTGGCATCGATCACGAATGCCAAGTTTGATGTGCATCCTTTGGACAAATATTTTATGGCTTTCATCAGGGAAATGATTCCATAATTTACTCTATGTTTGTCCCCGTACACCATAAATGACTCTCTTCCAGGTGGGTTTACTATTACCATCTTCTTCCAGCATAATATCTCGACATCGTTGGTGCTAGGCCAATCCATTCTTAGCACGATGTCGAAACCATTCAACTCAATGGGTAACAGCTCCTCGTGGAATTCGTTTCTGTTCAGGTTGATGTCGATATTCTTAATGCAATCGCTAACAAGTATGAATTTGCCACTGGCAACTTCTACAACTAGAGCATTATCCAGTTTTTCTATAGGCAATGCTAGTATTCCACCAAACTTATGTGATATAAAAGAGTAATTTGCTCCCAAATCAAACAGTATATTGGTAGGCAATCCATTTACAAGAAATGTACCTGAAGTGACAACTGTTGCACCCTTTGCGGCTTCCAGGGTCATCTGGAATGCTTTAGCTTTTGGCCTCGGTGGAATGTTAGGCCTTGTTGCCTCCTTCTTCTTCAGGCAGCCCCTTGAAATATGCCCTTCTTCATTGCACCCGTAACAGACTTTCTAGTTGAGGATGCATTCATAGTTCTCGGGCTTTCCATATTTAAAACAAGTGACTTCCCCGTCACATTCCCACAGTGCTTCTTCTTGCATTTCTCGCACCATTTCGCTTCACCTCCTCCTCCTCTCGAACCAGACTTCAAGAATTTACTTTTCTTGTTGGACCTTGAAGATCCATCGAACTTGCTCTTCTCACCAACCTCGGTTCTCTCCATTCCCCTTTCCCTTAACTAGGTCTCCACATTTTTAGTTGCTCGAATAGTTGTCTTCAGAGTAGTTGCCATCTTAACTGTTGGGCCAAAGTCATTTGGTAGTCTGGTTACGAACTTCTCAAGTTTAGAGAGTTCGGTTGGCACCAAGTATGGAAATAACTTCATCCTCTCGGTGAACGCAGTAGCATAGTCATCAATGCTCATTCTCCCATTCTTCAAGTTTTGGAAATCATTGTTCAGATCGATCAGATCTATCTCTGAGCAGTATTGCATCTCCAACTACTCCAAGAACATTTCCCAAGACATCTTCAGGGCTTCTCCCAGTGGCATCGTATCTGCCAACAATTTCCACCAGCTCAAGACTCCGGTCTTCAGTTGTCTAATTGAAAATACAGTTTTCTGTTTGTAGCTACATTTGCAGCTTTCAAATACCATCTCCATTTCAGAGATCCAGTCCATAATCTCTACTGGTTTGAGGATTCCTAAAAGACTCGGTGGTTTAGCACCCTAGAAGTTCCTATACATATGCCCATCCTTGTCATTCCCTCCCTCGTGGTTATTCCTTTCAACCACTTGGGGTCCATCTTGAATCATAGTACAACTGTAATTTCTTTCCTCTGACTGTTCGACGATTAGTTCAAGTTGCACAATGGGTACAGTAGGTTCATCCCTATTTTCGTGCAACATCTGCCTCATTTCTTCTCTTTGTTCAATCATCATAGCCCAAATCATGGCTCGTACTCCTGCCATTGTGATTGGCTCAGGTGCAGCTACTACATGTACTTGCTCAATTACTGGCCACTGGTTAACATTTTCATTAGCGTTTTTGCTTCGAGTTCTCACCATCTCGATCTATACACCATAGCAGGTGAATTTAGATCTTTATTTACAATAGACTTTTTAAATTCTCCTTGTCACTCTGAAATGTTACATGCTAGTTCTAATATCGTAGTTGAATGCTTAGAATCCTAAAC